TGATAGATAATTCGACTTGCTTAATTCTTAAATGACGAGCGTCATTAATTTTCATTGAGGATTAGAAATTTTAACCACAATTCGAACATCATTCATTGATGATTATAAATGCGCCTAAATGACTAACTGGCAACTCGAGAATTCATTACATTACTCTTTACTAGGATTCATGAGGTTACGGAATATCCTCAAGTATTTACCGTGGGTGCGCGGGTGGTGTAACAAATCGCAAAAAAATCGGAGGACTGAGTTCACATTTCAGTCCAGTTCGTTGCATTCACATATGCGCAAATATCCATGGGGAAGGTATGAATCCATCACCTCCCCCCAACTCAGCTATGCGTTAAATGGTAGGACTTGTATCTGAAAATAACATCATTGTTGTTGTTGAGTAGGACAGCGTACCTCCTGTTCGTCACTGTTAAAAACAGGGCATATATATATATATATATATATATATATATATATATATATATATATATATATATATATATATATATATATATATATATATATATATATATAGTTGTATATATATAGATACAGATAAATATATATATATATATGTGTGTGTGTGTGTGTGTGTGTGTGTGTGTGTGTGTGTGTGTGTGGCTGAGTGGTTAGAACGTCAGCATTCTGATCATGAAACCCCAGGTTCGAATCTCACCATGATCGAGTTGTCAGGAAGGAGACTTCCTGGTGTTATCAGACTGGAGGGGTCGATCCCAGCGCGCGGAAACTTTCGAAAGTGCCTGAAAACCGTACCACGGGTTGAGGCAAGCCTTGTGAGTCAAATTGGCTAGAGGGAAACCTTGGGTTCAGAAGATAGCTGTGATAGCACGAAGTCACATGTCATCGTGCCCGAGGGCTTGAGCGTGCTGTCCTTGTTCAAATTGTTGATCACGCTAGATAACACACTCTCTCTCTCTCTTTCTCTCTCCCCCAGAAACTGTAACTAAGGTCTGCTCAGCATAGTTGCAGTATAAATCACAGGTGGGCTCTGTGGTGTTGATCAAACACAAATGCACCTGATCAAGCGTCTGCAATAGGGATTGGCTACCCACCCTAGTAGAAGGCTATCCTCGAATACGAGTGACCAGCTACACACACATATATAGATAGATAATATAAGTGGTTAATATATATACATACACATACATATATATATATATATATATAAAATATATAAATACATACATATACACACACACACACACACACACACATATATATATATATATATATATATATATATATATATATATATATATATATGCCTGTAAACGTAAAACAATCACTTTCTGGTTTCTGATCGTAGGGTCTGATAAGGTAATTTAAGTTATTGCCTGTCTTATCCTCAAATATCCCAACGTATTTTCCTTAAAGGCAGTTTTGTCTTTCATTCCCAGCTGAAGAAGACGATAACAACAGTCGTCGGTCAAATGCGTTATTATATTATTTTCCACTTTGTCTTATCATCCACCCTACCCACAAACACCCTACCACACACACACCCCCTGCACACACACACACACACACATATATATATATATATATATATATATATATATATATATATATATATATATTAAGAAATGGACAAAGTCCGACAATTCATTTATTAAAGACATTTTTATGTTTAACGTTTTTTTTTTATAGATACAAGTATTTAAATAAATGCTCTGTTCATAATATATATGTTTTCAGGCCGGTAAATGTTATTTAATACTGTTTATTATAAACAAAGCATTTACTTAAATACTTGTATCTATAAAAAAAGAACGTTAAACATAAAAATGTCTTTAATAATATATATATATATATATATATATATATATATAGATATGCAGGTTGTATAAAAAATAATTTTACAAAGTTTTGTGTCGGGTTCCTCACGCTAAAACAAAGAAAAAATGCGGCATAAACATATGTCCAAAAGGTCATCTTTGTACCTCAGCACAGCAACTCATAATAAATGTTCAAAATGTCTTCCGCATGCTTTTGCACACGCATGCGCCCGTCGGATCCTTGACTGGCGGACCTTTTCAAATACTACCACACGTCGTCTAATAGTTTCGCAGGCTTCCATGACACGTTACTTAAGCACCTTTGCATTATTATTGTCTACAGCCTATATCAATTGTTTTAGATGGCCTCACAGATAAAACTCCAATCGCGAATAATGTGACTAAAATATGATGGAGCCCCATTATACATGAACTACATGCGTCTTCATATTAGCAGGGGTACATCCTCTATCATGTCTGGAATTGTGTTCGAAATAAAGTCCCTGTAGACAGATCCTGTAAGGCCTACTGTGAGGAAATATAAACCTAACAGACAGTCACCTACAATTCCAGTACACGCATTAATCGTAAACTTATGCTCGTATCTAGCCTGTATTATACCATGGGGATTCCGATCAGCCCACAAATGTTGGCTGTGTAAATTTGTTATTCCATCTCTTGCAAATGTTGCCTCATCCATAAACAAGACTGAAGAGACAAACAACAGGTCGGCAGCTTGTGAAATACACCATCGGCAAAAGTTCTCCCGTGGTGAGTGATCAAAGGGTGAAAGACCCTGCATACATATTGCAAATGATATGGATGAAGATGCTCTTGAAGTACCCTATATTGGTACTATGAGATATACAGCAGAGCCACTTGACATGTGCTGATACCTGGATAGTCTCTGAAAGTTTATAAATTGTGTTTAGGTGTAGGAGCGGATCTCAGTTTTTCGTTTCAGAAATTTCCTTTTTTTATTAATTTTTATACGTTCCTGAATTATTTTTTCTTTTTTTGTCTCCAGACAGAATTTAAATATAAATTGTCCAATGTCTTCTGAGCGATATTAACTTCACGTGTCAGTTTGTTGTGTCAATTTCTTTTATTTTGGCATATATACGAATTAAATTTTATTGATGTTCAGTTGATATTTTTTAAGGTAAAGGCTTCTACCACTTGTAATCGTTTTCTTCTTTGGTCTTCAAACAAACTTGCATACACACACACGTGTTCGCACACGTGGTTGTGTGTGTGTGTGTGTGTGTGTGCGTGCGTGTGTGATCTTGATAACTCTGTATTTATGTGTTCCGGGCGTAGTATTAGAGATTATGAGGTTCTCTTGAACTTTATTAATATTGTCTTAAGTGTTCTATTTTGTCTCGAATCACCTTCAGAGGAACGAATCAGTGGCAAAAGTCATGTTAGGCGTCTTATCATCATTATACATATATATATATATATATATATATATATATATATATATATATAGATAGATAGATAGATAGATAGATAGATAGATAGATAATATTAGTAGTAAATATACACATACATATGCAAAATATATAAATATATATACATAGGTGCATACACATACATGTATATTTTTTTTAATAAAAAATTCCAAGAGGATAGAATCCAGGTAGAACTCAATGTCCAGGACAGAGTAAGGATATAATAAAAAGGCTTAAACACTAATATTTCATGGTCGTAATTTCTTCTGATCTTTGACATTAGATCGTCTATGGTGTGTGTATGTCACCACGAAATGTATCTTTAATGTATTAGACATCCGACAACATTCATATTTCCCCCCTTTCACTCACCTCTATAAAACCCCTCTCTGTTAAGTTTTAATCTCCCACCTTCTCTCGTCTGTTACCCCTCTCTTTAGCTCTAACATTCGTCCCACACTCTCATACTTACTCTCTCTAAATTCTATTTTTTATTTCGGAGTTGTTTTTTATCTGTTTTTTTTTTTGAATTTGTAGGTCTGATGAGTTGGATCGTATTTACGATTCAATGGAATAAATTATGACCATGGAATATTAGTGTTTAAGCCTTTTTATATATATATATATATATATATATATATATATATATATATATATATATATATATATTATAAATTAATTGATTTAAAATGTGTTTTTCCGCTACACAGTTCTAACCATGTTTCAAAAATTTTTGAAACGTGGTTAGAACTGTGTAGGAAAAACATATTTAAATCAATTAATTTATAATATTAATGCTCTGTAAATTTACATCGAGCACTATTTTGTAAAAATAAAATATCTATAAGAACACCGGATTATATATCTTACTGTTCTTTCTTTATATATATATATATATATATATATATATATATATATATATATATATATATATATATATATATATATATGTTTCCGTGTGTGTGCGTGTGTATAAATATGAAAGAGTGTGTGCTGAAAGGTTTTCGCTCTGGCACAGAATTACAGCCCTAATTTTGATGTTTGGTGAGCATCGGACTCACTATTCAGTAGTAATGATCAACCGGACTTGCTTTCTAACTATGATATCAACTGAAGCAATGTTGCTCTAATGCCATTTACTAAGCAGGGCTAAGTTCGGCACCAGGCCAGAAGTGTGAGGGTACTTAGTGAAGATCAAACCCACTACTTACTTGTGTTGCTTAACCCGACTAGCTCGATAAGCATTGGAACGCACCGAATCTCTCAATTCTTAGGTTTAGTCACTTGGTCACATTTGAAATGTGTTGAGACGAGAACTTTTCAGTACTCTTCGTATGAGTATATATAATCTGCTTAGAAAAGTCAGTAAACTGTATACAAGTATATTTCTACAAATGTTTGGGTATGTATGTGCGTGTGTGTGTGCGCGTGCGTGTATATGAGTTTTCTTGTAAATATATATATATATATATATATATATATATATATACAGCTCGTGCTAATATCTGTGTAAGCAGACACCTTTTGCCGACAAGATTCATAGAAAGACAAATTGGAAAAGACTGAGGAATGAACATGGCGTCTCTTTTCTCTCGTCCTTCCTTTTTCATGCGCCACAACAGACGCCACTCCTCTAGGCTCCTCCTCCCCACATCCCCATCTTTTTTAGCTGATTTATATCATATACTGCATCCCGGGGCCCCTTGCAACTGCGTTCATTCGCATGCAAGCCCATGCAACCCAATGCAGATAGTAAAACCGCTCCCCCAGCGCAGCGCCGCTCCCCCAAGCATCCACCACGAGGCGGATTAAAACTCGTGTCTCTTTTGGGTGTATCAGTAACCAAAGAATGATATATTAGATCGAGGCTCGGATGTTCGTTCGATAGGCCAACACTCGACAGCGCCGAGCAGGTTGCAAAGCATGCAAAAGAGGTGTGCCTTGCTAGGAGAGGTTTGCGTGCGTGCGCGCGCTTGTGTGTGCGTGAAGAAGAAGAAGAAGAAGAAGAAGAAGAAGAAGAAGAAGAAGAAGAAGAAGAAGAAGAACGCGTGGATTGCTACAAGTTGTCCAAATACAAAGAATTTAATCGTCGTGCACATGGTGTCATCCGAGGAATCGTTACCCTTCCTCTTACCACTCCCTATCTCTCTCTTTCACTCTTTGTCTTTGGAGGGTTAATTTCCGGATATGTCATTCAAGCATCCTTAGATCATCATTTGATAGAATTGTTTTATTATTCTTGGGATCGAAATTTGCTTGCACACTTTCTTCCTAATCATTTTCCAATTTTTCCCCTGGTATCTTTACACCCAGCATTCAAAAATATCTATTATCATTTTAACTTTTAAAAGACTCTATCTAAAATAAAGAAATCAAAACTTCAATAAATTAATATTGCATATGAATCCGCTTGCTCCCTCGGAGAATGTCTTTTGAACAGGAGTAGAAGTTTATATCCTGTCCCTGTTTACAACTGGGTTTCCGGTTAAAAAATAATAATGATTCAAACAAAACATACATTGATTACATAACGACTACCTTATCGCGCCTACTAACATGTCATTTATCCAATAATAGTTTAATTAAATAGCATAGCTCCAAACAAATAAAACAACATACCAATAGCATAAAAATAGTGAAAGAACAATAACTATAATATTAGAAGCATCAAACATAAAAGAAATATCAATAAAATTTCATCAAATTTAGGAACACCTAACTATATTTCATAAAAAAATTTTTAATGAATGCTTCAATAATACGAACTATCGTGTGAAGAGGCGATACTTTAAAAAAAAACTGACATGAGATGCAAAGAAACGATACTTGAAAACGATGAAATTGACACAGCACAAAATAAACACTTTGAAAATCGCTTATGAAAGCGGAAAACTCAGACAATAGACAATTTATATTTAAATAACTGCTTCATATGGCGTCACTTTCCATCGATCTAAAAATGCCAGGATTTTGTCAGAAAATATTGCCCATCATACTGACAATACCTAGTTCTTGATAATGACTGAAATAGTCGAAGGTACCTGAACAAAACAAGAAAAATATAAACTTTGGACATTTTGTTCATAATTTTACTCCCAGTATACAGCGTCACATTCGGGAACTGAAAAGTATAATAAAAAAAAATAAATAGACATACCTTATCGATTGAATTTAAGAAAACTTGTTTGTGCATCTATATCTATATCTATATATATATATATATATATATATATATATATATATATATATATATATATATATATATATATATATATATATATATATATATGTGTGCACACACACACACACACACACATATATATATTTATATATAATTTACTGCTTATAAACTTCAATCTTCCATAATTCGACCTTGCCTACCGAACGCTCCTTTGTGGCCGAGTCGGTTAAGGCACGTCAGCGTAAATTACGGTTCCGTATAGGATACAGGTTCGAATCCTGTCAAAGGACGAATATTTTCTATGAAAATTTCTCGGATATTCAGGCCGGTATATGTTATTTAATACTGTTTATTATAAACAGAGCATTTACTTAAATACTTGTATCTATAATAAGAATGTTAAACATAAAAATGTCTTTAATAAATTGTCGGACTTTGTCCAATTCTTAATGTATCTATATCTATATCTATCTATATATATATGCAATTATGTATATTTACAGTATTTACATTGTTCGGCATATTGTCCTTATATTCCTTGTCATATTCACGACGTTTCGGCCGTTGTATGCCCCAGCCTTCTTTAGGTGATTAAAATTTTAAACTTGACTCCTTGAATCCTTTATTTCATCCACCGGAGTAGATTGTTCTAGGAACTAAATACTAAATAGAGGATTCAGTTCGAAATTTACTCTCCCGCGCAAAGAATCTCGAGGAATAATATTACTATCGTGCCGAAAGAATCCTTAGGAAGCATATTACTATCCTGAGGAAAGGATCCAGAGGAAGAATATTACTAATTCGAGGAAAGATCCTGTAGAAGACTATTACTATCCCGATGAAAGAGTTCTGCAAATAAATATCACTATCCCGTGGAAAGAATCACTATTCCGAAAAAGAATGCTGACAATGAATATTACTATCCCTAGGAGAGAATCCTGAGAATGAATATTACTACCCCGGAGAAGGAATACTGATGAGGAGTATTACTATCCGGAGGAAAGAATGCTGACGAATAATATTATCCCAAGGAAACATTCCTTATGAAGAATATTACTATAGTGGGGATAGAATCACGAGGAAAAATATTACTGTCTTGAGGAAAGAAACATGTAGAAGAATATTACTATCCCAATTAAAGAACCCCGAGGAAGATTATTACTTACCTGAGGAAAGAATCATGAGAAAAAATATTACTATCCTGAGGAAAAAAATCCTTAGGAAGTATATTATTATCCCGAGGAAAGAATCCAGACGAAGAATATTACTAACTTGAGGAAAGAAACTTGAGAAAGTATGGTCCTCCCTCGAGGATAGAATTCTGAGAAAGAATCTTACTATCCCCAGGACAGAATCTCGAGGAAGTATATTACTAGCCCGCTGAAAGAATCCTGCGGAATAATATTACTATATCGAGGAATGACTCCCGAGGAAGAATATTGCTATGCCGAGGAAAACCCCATAGGAAGAATAATACTATCCCGAAGAAAGTATCCCACTAGAATGTACTATGTGTAAACAACTAATCTCTGAAAAGTAGTGCCATGTTTTAGGCCACAGTCTTTAGCAAAACTCTACGTCTGAGATTCATGTGCAAGGTATATCCCTTCATGGCAACAGTTTTCTATGATGGCAGTATCGTTGAGAATCATGATGTCCAATCCGTTCAAAAATATCCAGTCTATCATCTTTGTACAAGCGTTTCCTTAGATCACTGTTTAAAAATGTCATCAAACGAATAAATCTTATGAATCGTAAAGGAAACTCTCCTTCGCTATATCCTATCGAACGGTGCTAGAAAATCACGACAGTTACAGATAACAAAAACTACCTCAACATCAGCAACAACAAACATGGGCAGCTTCTTCATCTTCTATACGCCGTGTCCCTTCAGGACGTAGGCGATCATGGCTCTCCACAATATTTTGTCCTTTTTAGAGCTTAATAACTTGTTTTGTATTTTTGCAAACTTTCCCAAAACCTGCTCAGGCATCTGCCCACTCAAGATCTCTAGGTAGGTTTTGTGTTGCTTTCTTCTGTCGCATATTCAATCTGTCCTGTGAGTATCAAATTTTCCAAGCCCTCTTTCCTCATTATGTGTCCCAGAAATTTCAGCTGCGTCTTATGTTATGTATAAGTTTCCCTTTTGTTATCATTGTCTCCAGGATTTCGCCATGTTCGGTCGATAGTATTCTGAGCATCCTTTTGTAGAAGCACACTTCTGTTGCCTCAAACCTCCATTGGCGAGGAGATTATCCAGCATTTACTGCCATATAGAAGGACTGATATTACATTATACTTTTGTTATCTTTTCTTTGTTATTAACGATATTTTTTCTGTTTCTTAATACTTTTCTTATCTTTTAGATAGCCCATGTAACTAAATAGCAAAATAGTAGTTTCGTCTTAACGGTCAGGATTAGGTTTAGCCTCCAGCTGTATTAACTGCTATTTATATGATGGAGATTCGCATATAAATGCAACAATGGAAGTCATGCCTAATAAGACGGGGGTCTTCTATGTGTCCGCAAAACCAGGTATGGATTTATGTAACTTCTCAAACCCGGTGACGGAATCATCAGGGACAGAAGCGACAAGCAGTGAATGTGAGACTCTTTTTTCATGATCAGAAGCATCCTTCTGGAAGTGTCTTCTCACCAAAATTGACTTTCTCAGACACCATAGGGACTCAGGATGGGACATTGAAGTTCTGGGGACAGCAATACAAGACCGAACAGTGCGGAAGGGGATTGTTAATGGAGTTCCGACCAACCGTAGTGAGGTCGAAGGATGATGATCATGAAAAGGAAAATAATGGCGTAATATCAGTGTATAACTTTCCAAACTAGCAAAAGCAAAAATATTTCAAAACAGCTGTAACATTTCGTAGACTTGTTAAATTAAATTTTCAGAAAAACTTTAAAAATAAAAACTATTTTATAAATTTTAACCAACAGCAACACTAAATATACGGTCAATGAATTTCGAATATATTTGTGAATAGGAACGGTTTATTAATTTTACCGTTACTGTTAATTTTACTATTACTGTGACGACTTCCGTGGCGAATTGTGACAAGTTTTTTGACGACATTCTCAAATCGTCGGTCGTTCACTGCAACTTTGATGACATCCAAGGTTGTATTTGCATAGGTGCGTGAATACGTCTGGTTTGTCGATAGCTAAACATAGGGGACCAAACTAGTAATGTTTTGTGACTTACAGTCGGTATATGTACCGAGGAAGGCTAATTCTGATTTTTTTTTTTTTTTTGAAGGCGTTAAAATCATTTTACATTAAGTCCTTCCAGCCATCTCTCTGTAATTAGAAGTAGTATGTTATTAGGCTTAAATATAATTAGTCTGTAATTTTTATATATTTTATGCAATATTTGTTCTTCGGTGGTCATTTTAAGTCGCTGTGTGTATTTTTCATACTCGATTGAGCTTTGATGATTTAGACCCGATAAAGCGGTTTTGCTAATTAGAAAGGCCCGATAAACCGGTTTGCCCGTTTTTTAATTTTTTAAATCCTGTTTTGATATTACCATTTTACTTATCTGTCTATATTTCTGAGATGAGGTATTATGTACACTATTTACATTATTCAGACTATTGTTCTCAACTTTGTTGCCATATTTATTACAACGTTTTCGGCCGTTGTACGCTCCGGCCTTCTTCAGGTGGTTGGAATGTCGAAATGACCCCATTATTTCGCTCACTGTTCTATTTCCACGTGCCATGTCTAATGGATGTCAGTTATCAGTTATCTCTTGTTAATTCCCCTCTCCAAGTTCTCGACCGCCTTAACCAGGTATTGAACTCACACTATTTGCGCCCTGTCACTGGATGTAACCAACGCCTTTATCCACTGTGCC